CTGCTGCCCTGGGAGGTCCTCAGGACTCCAGGTAAGGTTGCTGGAGTACACATGCGGAGTATACCTGGAGACAAATGGCAGTGGCAGAAATATGTGCCACTGCTATTTGTCCCATGGGAAATGCACGCCCCTGCATGTGCATGCTCATCAGGATGGACCCTTATGGACCTTAGGGCCAGATTCTATTCCACATTTTAGTTACAGATATGGGTAATTCTGTTCCACCCTGTTCAAGACCTGCAAATCCACTAATGCATCTACTTTTGTAACACACACTCATCTTACCCTTCAGACTGAGTCACAAAAAAGCAGCAAAGAGGAGAAAGACCTAGCCAACATTTATTTATATTTAAAGTTTTTCAGGGATTCAAGCAAGGTGAAACAGAATCACACTTAAGTGCCTAAGTCTACTTTTGCAGCCAAGAGGTAGAATAGAACCTGGACCTCAGTCTTTTGAAATACTTGGAATGGTTTAATAAAAATATAGATGTTAAATGAATTCTTTCATGGGATAATACAGAACCTTCAGTTGGATTACATAGCTGTAATTGTGAGCGAAAGATAGGAATAGGTGGGCATGTTAATGCCTTAGTTATTAAAGACTTCAAAGCCCCATATAGAAAAATGCTTGTTTGCTGGTGCTGTTGTGGAGGAAGTTAGCATAATTATAGCTGTTAATTTTATCTCCTCCTCCTGTCTACCTGTTGAGTGCCTGGACCTTTTCCATCAATAATTTTATTGTTCTAATCAAGGAAGGCTTGGTAGAAGTTTGGGAATCTTTTAACTTGCAGTCCAGATACAAAATGACTTCTGGTGGTACCAAAGTGTAGGAAAAGTAAACAAGGCATTCATATGGCACGGAGTCCAAACCTAGTATGATTAGAGCTTGATGACCACTGATGAATTCTGGGAAAGTTTGGCTTAGGCTTTGGATCTAGATCTAGGTCTTGCAGGTTGGATGAATCTCTAATGACAGAGTGTACAATAAAAAGTTTGTGGTGTTATTCTATGGAAAGATTTTCTCTGTTTTGATTCTATTTTTTTTCTCTTGGAAAGGTTGGTGAAATAAAAGCCCATGCAGCTGAATGGAAAGCCAACGTGACTGCTGAGTTCAGGGAAACACGGAGGCGACTCAGTGTGGAGATCCATGATAAACTTCAAAGGGCAGCCACCATTCGGAGTATGGAGAGGAGGCGCCTAGGGTTGGACCAAAGGGCCCACTCACTGGATATGCTCTCTCCAGAGAAGCGCTCTGTCTTTGCTGCCTTGGAGACAGGACGTTTCAAGGCCTCATCTCAGGAAAGCATCAACAACAGACCTAACAACCTGCGCCTTAAAGGAACAGATCAACTCAACAAGCATGGGCAGGGGGCATCAGAAGACAACATCATCAACAAGTTTGGCTCTTCATCCAAGCTAACCAAGAGGAAAAACAAAGACCTGAAAAAGAGCATTCCAGAGGATGTGAGGAAGATTTACGAGACCTTTCGAAACTACTCCTTGGATGAGGACAAGAAGGAAGAGGAGACTGAGAAGATGTGCTACTCAGAGAACTCTTCTAGCACAGCAGTCCTGACCAATTGTATCCAGCAGCACTCAGACCTGGAGAATGGAATGATCCCCACTGAAACCAAAGAAAGGGAACATGAAAACAAAGCATTACTTGAAGACAGAAATTAAATGTAAAAGATGCTTGACTTTGATTAATGTTAGTGTTTTTTATACACACATATATATATATATTGACACGTGCCTTATACAGACTCCTTATTCAGTCTGAATTACATAGCATCGAAGAATATTTCACTGTGCCATAATGACTAAAGCTTGCTCTGCCAAAACAAAACACAGCACAATGGAAATAGAAAGCAACACAGGAGATTACCATGGCAAAATGCAAAGAGAGGCTTACCATGGCAATACAACCAGAGTGCTACCGCCAGGGCATAATAATTGAAAAGGGCAGCTATGTTAAAAGAGCTCATGGGAGGGCAAAAAAAATGGTTGAGAATAGTGTATCTTTTCAGTGGATTATGTCTACATTAATCCTCCCACTAGGAATGAAGAAAAGAGGAGAAATGGTTGGAATGAACTACAGATGAGCTAGCAACGTTTAGTAAGGTTTAGTTGACGTTTTGGCACGTGAACCAAGCTAGATCTTTTTTTAATTTTTAAATCAGATGCATTACCTTTCTGACTCCAAAAGAATGTCCATAGACATAAGATCCAGCTGGATGCTGGTAGCAAAATCAACGCAGACATGTTAAAGGGTGTGATTTGCTTTTTTTCTTTAAAAAATATGAAAATACAAAAAAAACCCACACTGTTGATACTTATCTTAACCAATGACAAAAAAATTAGAAAAAGGAAAAAAACCAAAAAAAAAAAAAAAAAGGAATTTTATTCTCTCTCTTATTGGAAGTATACAATATAAACTCACAAATGCTGAAGAAATCACAACTTCTAATGCTACAATGTTTAAAAGAGGAAAAACAAAATTTCAAATGAAGTTTTGTTTGGCGCATGAAACAGTGGGCCAGCAATTTTTAAAATTTTATTGTTCACACTTTATATCACTGAAGAGAATTCAGTTTTAATGCCGTAATACTCTAAAGACAGAAAAAAAAGCTATAGGCTTTGCATGATATCAGCAACCTGCTGTTCTCTGTAGCTGAATTTGAATTTTAAAGAATAGGCATAAGAGTATATCTAAAACTAAGATGAGGGCCAGAGCAACCTTAGAATCTCAGGGCTCTATGTCCCGTCTGGTGGGTTGGGGTTTAGACATGAGCTTCAGTCATAATCTCAAAAAAAAGAAAAAAAAAGAATATGGTAAAAAACTATGATGAACATCTTTTAAGTGCTTCTAGCTTTAAGTGCCATTAATGCTGTCATATTTTGTAACTTTTTAAACAAGTATTTTGAATAATTTATTTGCTTTCTTTTCTGTTTTTTCTTTGTTTGATACTTACTCTCTTCAAGATCCTTTTCTCAGTAGAATCTAAACACAAGCTCTGTGTGTTTCAAGACTAAAAATGAGACATAACCAAACTGTGAAAGTTCTTTTATTTGGTGTTTGGACACGTGGATATGGGAAGCACAAATGTCTCCTAACTTCAAAGTAAACACTCCAAAAAATGCTGTGGAATAATCAATGGGAATTGCAAATAACTTTAGACCTGGTGCACTCAATTTGTGACATGCATTGTCTGTCATTACAAGCAAAGAATTTTGCATGTTGAAAGTGGGGCATATATGATTGCACAACTTATGTTTTCTCTGCACCTTCACTCTGTTGACCTGCAATTCTGACTGCACCCCTTATGGGTTTGCAGCCAAAGTAAGCATGGTTGTAGAATGAAGAGATGTTATGAGTCTTACAGACTGCTCATACATCCAGGCACTTTCCAGTCATGCACACATAGATTTTATGGAATTGCAGGCTCCAAACCGTACACACAGAAATGCATGCATAATTTTTGTATACATTGTTTGAGATTTCACCTGCAAATTGTTACTTGCATACACAGTTACCATGACTGTGGGGCGCAGTATGCGAAAGCACATGCAAATAAGGAATGTGCATATTTGCATATGCAATTGCTTGTGCACAAATTGCAACTCTAGGCCAAAATCACCGCTGCAGGAGAGCAGAGGAATACTGAGTATGGCCTCTCTTACTGATTCAACTCAGCTGAAATATTGTGTTATAACTTTAATCCAGTTATCCAAATAGGCTGTTCTAGACTAAACATGAAAAAAATCACTGGTTGAAAAATTTTAATCATGTGGGAATGGCTTTGCCCTATAAAGCAAAAATTGGATTTTGCTTAATCCATTGACAAATCTGTTAAGCTACAGGGACAGATTCTGGCTTTTCCAACCAGTGGCATTGTGCAGAGATTTGGATGGGGGCCTTGCTATTTAGCTAGAATCCCCAAGAAACATTGAAGCTGATTTCTTTTGGAGGCTCCCATGCAGCACATATTAGACCACAGCTTTGACACCTTGGGGAGGTAGAGTAGACGTTTCCTTTCATGACAGGTCAGTGCAATGGAGATAGGGTTATGGCTATAACTATGCTCAAATCCCACCCAACTTCAAATCCCAGAAAGATGCTAGCAGGGGAAAGTATTTATACAAGAATAAAAGCCCTTTTGCCTTGCCCCTTTACTTGTGTATCTATGTAGGAGCCAAACCAAATGTGGGCCACAAGGGCACTGGCCAACACATTCCTGCTAATCTCATTTTGAATTGAGTTGCTTCTTACTTTACTACCTACACAGGCCCACAGAGGATTAAACACACCTGTCTCAGGATTGGGCTCAGTAAAGTTTTCTGCTGTTCAAATCTATGGTTTGACTTAAGTCTATTATGGAATTAGGAACTAACTGTAGATTTGGGTTTGGATTCTAGACAAGGTTCAGAAATGTTAGATCTGAGGTTCATATCCCTGTCAGTCTGGAAATATTGTATTGCACTTTATTTTTTTATTTTGCCTGAATAGGGTACACAGAAGGAACTACTATGATTCCAAAGTGTACAGTATACGTATGCTGTATTAACAATTCTCCTTGATTACCAAATGCAGAAAGATAATTCCACTGTACCTAGTGTAATTTCTTCTAGTAGCACATGCTCCTTTCAGACTGAAAGCATTCATTATGAACTGTAGAACTCCAGCTCCAGGGTAAAAGCATAACTTCCCTAACCTAAGAATTGCAGAATCATAGAAAACTAGGGTTGGAAGGGACCTCAGGAGGTCACATCTAGTCCAACCCCCTGCTCAAAGCAGGACCATCCCCAACTAGATCATTCCAGCCAAAGCTTTGTCTAGCTGGGTCTTAAAAACTTCCAAGGTGGGAGATTTCGCAACCTCTCTGGGTAGCCTGTTCCAGTGCTTCACTACCCTCCTCGTGGCAAAGTATTTCCTAATATCTAACCTAAACTTCCCTTGCTGCAACTTGAAACCATTGCTGCTTGTTCTGTCATCTGCTACCACTGAGAACAGTTTAGCTCAGGGGTGGGCAAAATGGTGGATCCAGCTGGCAGCCGGTTTCCATGGAGACCCCAGTAGCAGTTGGGGCCAGTCTCCATGGAAAACTTGGTCCCAGTGCTGCTAGGGTCCTGCTGCTTCTGGGATCTCCATGGAAACTGGCTGCAGCAAGGTGGGCAGGGTCTGCTGGGAAATGGAGTCCAGCATGGGCCTGATCCAGCCTGTGAATTAGACTTTGCCCAGCCCTGGCCTAGCTGCATCCTGTTTAGCACCACCCTTCGGGTAGTTGAAGGCTGCTATTAAATTCCCCCTCAGTCTTTTCTTCTCCAGACTAATTAAGCCCAGTTCCCTTAGCCTCATCTCGTAAGTCATGTTCTACAGCCCTCTAACCGTTTTTGTTGCCTTCTGCTGGACTCTCTCCAATTTGTCCATGCCCTTTTGTAGTGGGGAGCCCAAACTGGACACAGTACTCCAGATGTGGCCTCACCAGTGCTGAACAGAGAGGGATATCACTTCTCTTGATCTGCTGGCAATACTCCTACTCCTACTATTGGCTCAGATTCAGTGTATTGTCCACTGTAACCTCCAGGTCCTTTTCTGCAGAGCTGCTGCTTAGTCAGTCCCCAACCTGTACCTGTGATTGGGCTTGTTCTGTTCTAAATGCAGGACTTCACAGTTGTCCTTATTGAGACTCATGAGATTTCTTTTGGTCCAAACCTCCAATTTGTTGAGGTCTTGCTGAATCCTAAGCCTACTCTTCAGGATATCTACTACTCCTTCCAGCTTGGTGTCATTTGCAAACTTCAGTGGTGTGCTCTCCATCCCATCTGCCACATCATATTGAGTCGTTAACCACTGTAAAGCTCTCACCAATGTTGCATAGTGGCTGTTTGGGGTTTTAACTTCATCCACATGAGATTTTCTATGCAGTTTATTTGCCCATTTACAAATTTTATGTGAAATAATTATTAGAAATATTAGTTAATGGCCACCATCATTTGCATTAACTAAACCTCATCTTGGGTGTAGTGGGGACATAAAAAATGATTGGTGCTTTTGCTGTCTGGTTTATGATGTCCCTAGAAGCTCTTGATGGAATTATGTGCTTGTTAAACCAGTTCAGTGCATTGCTTTTTTCCGTATTTTTTCTAGTAGTTTGAGCAAGTCAGAATGAGTTTGGATCATGCCCATTTCTTACCCATGAGCATCAATAAAATATGGGCTGTACCAGGATCTTTTTGGGCTAGGATATTCCCTAAACCAGGGTAAAGAAAATCAAAACTAGGCCTGTATGATCAGCTTATGGCAAACCCTGAGACATATTTATCTGAATATGTTTATATTTATTTTGTTTATGGGTATTTTTTTTTGCTCAGGAGAACATTTATGCTGCCAAAATAAAATGAACTCTTATATTCATACCCTTTCCAGCCTCAAGAAAGAAAAGTATCATGTAAAGACCAGAGTTCACGCTATTTAGCCTATTAACATACAGCAGTAATACAACTGACCAAACAAGTAGGAACTAAATGGTGCCCCAAGCAGATTCAGTTCCTCCTTCATCCCTGTTTATTGTGACCCAATACTAAGGTTTAACCAATTTAGGGCCAGAACCTTCTTCTGTTGAAATCAGTGCAGTGAGGAGGAGCAGGATTTACCTCACAGGGTGCATCTACATGTGCAAATAATGCGGCTGAATAAACTCCAGCGCAGTTTGTACTAGAATTTATTGCTCCCAGACACTGCATTTGCACACGCACCTGGGACTGCAGCACGTTGAGCTGGGGCGGAGCAGCCCTGGCTGGCAGGGGGCTTTAGGGGTCAGCCTGCCAGCCTGGGGCTGTTTCAGCCCAGCTTGGAGTGCTGTGGAGGGCTGGCTCAGGTATGAGGGTGTTGTATTATGGGGCTAGCCAGCAGGCACCTCGCACTGAAGCATCCTCATGCCCCAGCCAGTGTCATGAACATCTACATGTGCGTTATGGTGGAGTAAATAACTCTGCCATAGGATAGTACTTGTGCCTGGCAGTACTATTCTATGGTGGAGTTAATTAGTTTGGTCGATCCTATTAGCACCATACGTGCAGACAGTCATGTTTTACTGAGGAGCTAATTAGTCAACTCTGCAGTAAATGTTGCATGTAGATACTCCCATAATGTTGTAAACCCATCTGAACAAAGACCTGTTATTTTTATGCATTTGTAAAGTGCCATGTGCACTTAATGATACGATACGATATGAATAAGAAATGCAAATAATTCCAGCTCCATACATGACTCCTGAGGTAATAAAGTACCCACAGAAAATGGAACTACAAATGCAAATTAACAGAGATTCCTGAAAAACAAATATAAAATGCTAATCCTAGGTAAAATAAGGTAAAATAAACCACAAAAAGAATTTAGGCCTAGATTTTCAAATTTATTTAGGTACTGAGTCCTATTTAGGTAGAGCTAGATGCCTAAATGCCTTTTAGGCTGTGGGCCTTAGTGTCTGTACAATCTGCTTTTGTGTCCAGGTCTGTGCGCCCCATTTCAAGAGGGATGTGGACAACATGGAGAGGGTCCAGAGGAGGGCCACCCACATGATCCGGGGACAACAGGGCAGACCCTACAGTGAGAGACTGCGGGACCTGAACCTATTCAGCCTCCACAAGAGAAGGCTGAGGGGGGACCTGGTGACTGTCTATAAACTCACTAGGGGGGACCAGAAGGGTTTGGGGGAGACGCTGTTTCCCCTAGCGCCCGCTGGCATAACAAGGAGTAATGGGCACAAGTTGATGGAGAGGAGGTATAGATTGGACATCCGCAAAAACTACTTCACAGTTA